TCTTTATAAAAGAGCAGAGGTGAGCATTTGATGGTGTTGTTCACTGTCCTCAATCATTTATCTGTGTGTTTGATACTGCAGGAAGTAAGTGCTCTCCTTGATAAAGCTCCGCACGGAGATGAAACAGGATCAAATGGAAATGGAAAAATTCTGTAAGTGACTGACTAATGGTTTTGTTTGTGCTATCATGCTGTCAGCCTCTAACCTGGTCTCCTTCCCTCCTCGCAGGAGCATCCACTCCTCGGAAAGTCAGCAAGAATTCTTCCGGATGTTAGATGAAAAAATTGAAAAGGTAAAGAATGACAAACCTTTACTGGAGATCTATTTATGTTTTTGTGTCTTTGTAAGGAAAAAAAAACAGGTTAAATAACATAATGGAAGTTAATCCTATTGGTGCTGCAAATCTGTAGCAAGTGAGGACACAGCAGACGAGATAATGATACTGCAAAACAATCTCAATCTGTCACGTCCACTCTATTCTCCCACTGTGGTTATTTAAAGGGATATTGGCTGTGCTGCCAGATCCTGAAATATTATACCACTGTGTGCCACAGAGCTCAAAAATACTTTAAAAACCTATACGAGAACATTTACGTCACTCTTTTGCAAAAGAACTGTGGTTTATTTTGAGATTATCCCACTGTCCTGCTGCTGGAAAAACTCATAGAGACCAAAATAACTGTTAATGTGTAGCTGAAAGTCGTCATAAACGCCTGCTTCAGTAAGATTTTCCAAAATGTAAAGAGGCCTCTTTAAGTGCGTGCCTGAATTTCCGTTGCTTGACTCCATTTAAGCTGAAAAAAGTCATTTCCTTTCATTCATGTTTGACTGAGACCTTGCTGCAAATATTTCAACAAAATGCTGCGTTATCTTTGCACGGTGGGGCTGCAAAATAATTTAGCATTCCTCCTTGTCAACACATGCACAAATGAACTGATTAGTTGTGTGCATTAGTCATTTTTTTGCAGACTGAAAGCATAACTTTGTGGTGACTGAGTCAGACTCTAGAGAATTTGCAGTGGCATTGTTGTTACTCCAAAACTTTGTTGCTTGTTGCTAAACACTTAATTGGCTGAAAAAGCTGAGAGGAGACAGCAGCTCATACTCATAACACTAGAAAGCTAGAACAAGAAAACTAATTAAAAGGCATTGGCTTTCACATTTTTTATACCTTAAAGCAGAGGTGTCCACCTCCAGGCTTCAAGTACCAGTGTCCTGCAGGTTTTAGATCTCACCCTGGGTCAACACACCTAAATCACATGATTAGTTCATCACCAGGCGTCTGGAGAACTTCAGGACATGTTCAAGAGGTAATTTAGCCATTTAAATCAGCTGTGTTGGATCAAGGACACATCTAAAACCTGCAGGACACTGGCCCTTGAGGCTTGGAGTTGGACATCCCTGCCTTAAAGCATGCTGGTAAATACCCATAACTAACTGGGAGCTTTTATTTTGAAAAGCAGTGACTCTTAACGACGTAAACTACGTGGTTTTATTTTGAAAATACCGTAGTGTCAAAGCATCTTGATGTCTAAAGTGTAATTGGATGTTTTATGGTGAAAAGAAAAAAAATGTGACTTTAAAGCACTTTATTAGCTTTTATTTATTTTTTAAAATCAGATTTCATCCTAACAGAGGTGCTTTCTGCTGCCCCCCTTGTATTTCAAGGGGTTGCCACACTGGATGAATGTGCATATTAATTTGGAACAGATGTTACCAGATGCCCCTGGGACCGGCCTAGGAGTGCATTAGCTTGCGACCACTAAGGCTGGACGTGTTTCTCGATCTTTGCATGTAAGGTGAATGTGTTTACCACTACAGCTCTGAGCCACCAGCTGTGGGCACCTTGGTATTTTCCCATATATAAGTGAGGGGTTCTGTCATTTCCACAGCTGGTCCATCATGTTATTGTCTCCCCAAAATCTCACAAATACAGTTTGTGAGATTTTGGGTGTTTTTTCTACTTCCCTTGTGCATTTTACATTTGCCCCACCACGATACATGTCGGTTTACACAAAATGTTATAACTGTAAAACTAGTTGTATCTGGCTAATACCTGAATACTCTGCGCGTGTGTCGTATCCAGGGCCGGGATTACTGCTCAGAAGAGGAGGATATGACATAACCCGGTTGTCACAAATCCACACGTCCCAGTATGAGAAACTGTCCAGCATTATGGATAGACTGTGTCCCAGAGGACTCTTTGATGTATGTGCACGCCCGAGAAGGAAGGAGTATTGAAACTAGCACTTTTTTCTTTTTGCCCTCCTGCCACTACCCACTCGTCTGACCAAGTTCCAGAAAGATCATGACGGAAATCAGCGCCGTGGTTCTCCCAAGAGTGACATGAGATTTGAAGCCATTACAGGGTAACGGAGGATCTAACACTTTTCTTTCCTTGCTGGAATTTCTCAGTATAAATAGCTGTCACCGAGACTTACTATACACATGTGAAAGACGCAGGCTGCTGTCAGTGTGAATTTCCGGCAACAGGAACAACCACTGCTCTTGTGGACACTGACTCAAATAGAAAATAATGCCCTTGCATCGTTTAATCCTTGAAAGCCTCTGCGACAAGTCAACGGGTTGGAAACTTCCTGCATTCCAAGACGCAGTACAGACCTCTTTTCTACAGTATGTTGGCCACTCCAGTGTTTGTCTGCTCATATTTGTTTCTGTTCTGATGTAGAGTATTTATGTTGAATAAGGCTCAGGGTTGAAGTGTTGTAATCTTTGTCTCATGTAGTTAAGTCTTTCCCCTCATTAGAACACTGTTACACCATTAAAAGACGCACACACACACACACGCTGTCACACATGGGTTACAGATAGAGCCCTCTCTAGTGTCTGATTCATATAAGCCTAAGAGGTGAACACCACAACTTCACACAAGTCTCATTATGTATCTGATTCACCGGTGTTATGTTGTTGTGTTCGGTTTCTTTGTTTTGTTTTGGTTTTTTTTTGGTTTTCTAGGAAAAATAAAAGTGATTTAAGTAATTTATTCCCATTGTTGTGTTGTTTTTAAAACAACCTGATGGCAATAGCCATGATGAATTATTTTACGCGATGTATTCATTACCACATTACTATGTCAACCACTTGTAGTAAATACAACCGTACTATAAAAGTGCACTGTAACTAGTGAAAACACTGGAATTGGGAGATACGATCATTTGTAGACAGCTCTTTGAGATGGACTCAGTGTTGAGAGTTGTTGCAGTATATAGGAGCATCGGTACTTTTCTGTAAAACCATTTTCATCCACTCATCTTTACAACATTGCTTCAGTTCATGAAGGTTTAGTCAGGTTGAGGTCTGGACTTTGACTTGGTCATTGTAACACCTTGATTGTTTTCTTTTTCAGCTGTTCTGTTGTAAATCTGCTGCTTTGCTTGGGATCATTGTACTGCTGCGTGACCCGTTTTTTGCTGTTGCTCAGATGGCCAAATTTTAATATAGTATACTTTGGTGGAGTTCATGGTCGACACATCAGTGGCTGCAAGGTGCTCCTGTAGCTACAAAATAAGCCCAAATCATCACCCCTCCACCACCGTGCTTGACAGTTTGTAGGCGGTCTCTGTGCTGGTATGCCGTTTGGTTTTCAACGTGTGGAAAAATATCTCCACTTTGGCTTCATCTGTTCAGAGGACGTTGTTGCCCAAATCTTGTGTTTGTTCAGATGGAGCTGGGCTGGCATGTTCTGTCAAAGTGAGCAGGTCTTCTGCCAACTTTTCCAAACAAGCTGTACTTGGTCAGTCTGTTTCTAACTTTACTGTCATGAAGTTTAACATGTTACACGCGGAGGCTGATGTAGAGTCTGAGGTTGCACGGTCTGAGTTTACTGAGATGTCCACTGCTTAGATCGAATCATTATGTATCTTTCTCACAGGAGGAGGATGGACATCAAAGTGTTTGTAACTCTTCCCAGATTGATGAGCAGCAATAATTACTTATTTAATATCACTGTCGACATCTTTCATTCTTTGCGCTGACAAGATCGTCAGTGCTCTCTGGTGGACACAATATTTAATGGCCTCAATTTCAAAATCATTGCAAGCACAACTTGTGCTTGTTTTTTAATTAATGGCAAACACACTACATATACACCAATACAGGTATTTCTGCACTGCACTCCAAAATTAATAAAGGAATTTTTTTGCTATTTTTTTGTTACTTATAAAGTCTACAAACTGAAGCAGGAAACAATTTGCCACTTTTATTTAGTTGTTAGTTGCTAACTCAGGAGCCATTTTTGTTACTAACATTAACAAAAGCTCTGCATTTAGTAACACCTGTTTACTTACCATTTCCAGCCAAAATGCCTGTGGTGGAAAAATACCTTTAACCGCAAATCACACTTCAGCGTTGGCACCAAGTTTTTAAAGAATAAAACAGAATGTTTACCTTAGGTCCTTTAAAAAAATAAATAAAAAAAATTAAGAAAGAATACATTTGAAACTATTAGTCTTTCTCACACCTGATGTTTATTTCAAAATAAGGCACATTTGTTTTAAAAAATAAATAAAACAATCACTGACATTTATAGTAGGTCTTAATAATTGTGTTTAAGGGATTATTGTCAAAAACCAATGTGCTGACATGGATTACAAACCATAGGCGTAAATTTCAGGGGGACACGTGCACCTCCCCAAAATATTAGACTTGAGACACTATGACCTTGTGTCTACTTTTTGTGTTGTTTTTTTTACACAAACAGAGACATTTCCCTCAAGAACAGATGCAGAAAAGTTACAGAATGAACCAGAAAGTAATGAAATGAAGTGTCCGATCTAACCAACTGGACAGCTTTGGAAAATTCAAGGAGTGCATAGATTATGAACTTTTAGCTGTATTTTCATAAGTGTTACAGCTTTGCCATTCACACATCAAAGTAATTAACTTTCAGATAAACAATTAAACAACAGATAAGTTCCTGTTTTCCTACTATCTACTATAGAAATGTCTGTTTTTGTTTTACAACAAACAAATAAAGATCATTTTCCTTGAATTAACAAAAAATGGATATTTTATATTTGCAGGACAGTCTGGGTAATGAACTACCTTTTCAGGAACTACTTTTCCTGTAATTTATCACATATACTCACTGGCAAAGCTGTAAGCTTTGTGGATGCTGACTCATCCGGCCCCATTGAAAGGTTTCTTTGGAGGCATGGAAACGAGATATGGCATCCCTGATTTCATTGTGAAAGCTTCTAGTCAACTCTGTAGTGTGCATACACCGCAGCAAACAAACCAAACCACTCCATATATTGTAACAGGAGCTCAACTGTCATTAAAAAAGGAATGTTACTTCTAATCTCTGCACCCTTTTCTTAAGGTTAATTTTATCTCTTTTCGCCTTAAACTCTCAACATGCATCTGAGGTGAACTTCACGATGCCAGAGGTTGCCACAAGGTCATCCTAACAATCACATACTCCCCCTGAAGGGGTCCTGTGGGGCTCTTTTCCATCTTTGAGCGATTCATCACATTCTCAGTCAGCTGCTCAGCGCTGCTGCCGCCTCTTCCGGTGCTGCCGGCGTCCCATATCTTGAAAAGGTCCTACAGGAGGGTCTGGTGTCACCAGGCCATCCGTCATCCTCTGGTAGACCAGCGTGGAGTCAGCTGCTACTGCACACAGCAGCACAGGAAAGCCCCTGTCCAGGACGTGTCGTATGCTGCACAGCAGAGAAGGAAGAAGCTGTAAGATTCAGAGGTTTGGCAGGGTAACCTGTGAGGGTAAAAGTGTGGGAGCTTGACCAGTGTCTTAACACCTTTTGTGAGTCACAGACTGGTGAGCGGGCAGGGGGAGGATCGTCAGAGTGGGTGCTCCTTCCTTCTCCCTCGCTTCCAGCAAAACCACCTGCAGCTCAGAACTCTTCACGCAGGACACCTCCTTCCAGCGCCGCACTGCAGAGAGCAAGAAGCTCAGTGTGAGTGTGAGCCTAAGTTATGACATCAGGTTTTTCTTCCTGTAAGAAAGGAATTAGAGCTGGGAGATGTAAGGAGTCCAGGATACGCTACACAGGGAATCTCAAACTGACTCCCGTGTTTCAGAACCCTGCCAAACTCACCCTCAGTAAGATCCATGTATACAAGAAAAGCTGCATGCACCTGAGCGCTGTCCTCAATCTGCAGGTCCTTCATCTGCTGGTACTGACACACACACACAGATTACTCACAGTACGTTCCTGGCAGACTCCCTGCCTGCACACACAGAGCTGCTCTCACACTCACCGCGGGATGCTGCAGGATCCAGTTCGGAGGAGGACGTTTCTCTCCACCTGACGCTCCCGACATGTTCGTTACTAAACAAAGCTGCAAGCGATCACCGGCTCAGTTACCACTACATGACGCCATGCTGTTGTAACGGCACGCTTTCACCCAGTGCGACTGTTAAAATCGTCCGTGCGGAAACGTTTTTGTTATCCGTGCAAAACACGTACGCAGACAGGAGACCGCTCTCCTTTCGGGTCTGTATTCAAGTCAGTCATTTCTATTCATCATGCTTGTCCTAAAATTAACTTATAGGTAAATACTGGGCAAAAGTTTTGAGCCACACATCCTTTCTTTGCATTTTGCTTCCGAGGAGACTGACATTTCTGTTATTTTGAAAGTGGTCCTAACAAGACTTCCCCAGACTCTCTGAAAAAATTAGCAGTTTTAATTTAATTTTATGTATGTTTGCAAAATATAAAAAGATGAGTGGTGACTCGGGACTTTTGCTCAGTACTCACTAGTTCCTGCATCATTATAATTACTTTACGTATTACTGACATCTAATAAACTGACTTCCACCAACCGATCTTATAGAAAGAAAGAATAAAAACTGCACTTACAGTTGCCAGATGACTTTATTCATTTTAGCGAGACATTATCTCATCGAAAAATAATAAACAGTAACATTAATGGTGATATTAAATCTGCAGACTCGCAAAGCCTGGTGATCTTTAGATGTATGAGTGCCACTGCCACAAACACTATTAGAGACATTATTGTTAAATGACCTGGAGCCTCTTATCCACACACTGACAGAGACATTACGTTAATTCTGCTTAATGTGGTTGACTCCGTAACCAGAGTCTTTATTCAGTCTTTGATCACTTTTTTCATTGAATCATATTTTGTCATTTTTGTTTTCGCAATCAGAGCCCATGCATTGCTCCCGTGCCACTTGCTCTCTCTTCACCCTTTCCTCTTATACCCAATAAATTCTCCTGAAACCAAGAACCTGTGCTTAAAAATAGATTTACTGTATTCCGGTGTTTAATGTCAGTTGTGTCCAGTTCACAGTTTACAGTTCTACGAATACTTCACCTTAAAAACAAAAATCCAACAACATTTATTGACATCATTTAAGGCTGGGGAAACCGGAAAGCCACTTATTCGCCTGAAATCTGAAACCAGTCTTAGACCAAAGGGAGAGGATGTCATCCATAGCATTAATGCTACACTGACAGCTGCGAATGGCAAGTGTGACATTTGAAAATCTCATAAATGTGAGCACACATTTTATCCATAATAGTAAAAATTCCCACAAGATTTCTGGATTTCTGATAAAATTGGTACCAGTTGGAAGTTTTTTTGACAGTTTGAAACTGGGTGCTGATGAGTTAAGTTCCAGAGGAGCACAGCAGATAGACCTGGCTAAGAGAGCTCAATCACTGGCTGGAAGGTGAAGCTTGAGAAGTTCTTGTGCATATTGTCATGCTGGAAAGTCCGGCCTTCTGGTAGGTAGTGAAGAGCCTATGAATCTGAGAAATGCAGATTCATAGTATAAGGCTCTTTTGGGATAATTCTGTTCTGATCATTTGTGCGCTGGAAAAGCCATTAAAATATGTTTTTAAAAATGTATTTGCTTGCTCACATTTTTCACAGTCCTCCTCTCAGCTGCAGGCTGTGGCTATAGACATTCAGACGGTGACTGTGACTATAGCTGAGGCCGTCTGCTTCCTCTGACACTGCAACATCTGGAAGCACGTGCAGACTTAAACTGTGCACTGAGGACTTTCATTGTTAAAAACAGCTTCCCTATAGTCAACAGGGATGGACTTAAAATGATGATGGCTGCTGTCTCCCTCTAGGTGGTGCAGCAAGAACTGCAATAGGTGCCCCCCACCGCCCCACCGCCCCCGCGAGCTTCTGAGGAAGTAGGATTTCGACATGTGGCTCATCATGAGTCCCAAATCCACCCGCTCTGTGATATGAACTCTGAGGATGTTTACGTGTGCCATGTTGAACTCACTGCCTGGGCTGCGGCCCCATTTAACTCTACTCATTTCCTTTCCTGTGTGGTGTGTGTGCTTTTTCTTCTGAGATGGAACGCTGTCTAGTCCCAGCTTCAGATATCAATAAAAATAATATTTGTGTACAAACCTTCCTGGAGTGTCGGTGTGAATTCTTTTTTAAAAGGGGACGAGAAAAGAAAACGTTTAAGAGCCATAATTATATAAACAGACCAGCTGATCCAGAGTCAAGTCAGAAGTTGTTTGAGGACTTCCTAGTAATCCTGGCTTCCACACCTCAAGACTGGCAAATCATAGTGTATGAGTTTTTCCAAAATAAAGTTTGCTTAGGAACAATATATTGTGTGTAGCCATGATTAAACATCCAGCCAAGTTTAAGTGATAAATGCCTGGAAGTGCTCCTCAGAGTTAACATGCAGGAACATATGGCAATGCAGAAGGGTGGCTGTCAAGAAGTCATTCTTAAGGAAGGAAAACAGGGAAAAAAGGCCGAAATATGCCAAATTGCACAATAACTGGTCTGGAAATCAGTGGGAACAGGTGCGATGGAGAGATTACTCTAAATTTACAAGTTTTGGTTGAAATCATTGTCATTATGTATGGAGGAGGCCAGGAGAGAGCTGCAACAGTGGGTGTCTACAGCCATCTGTAAAACACGGTGGAGGCTCTGTCATGTTTTAGAGCTGCATTTACTAGTGTTGGAGATCTTGTTAATATTGATGGAATTATGAATGCAGAAAACTTTTTAAGGTTGACGGTGACAGAAACTGAGAGACTATATATAACCTACATTCAACCTTTGTTAGAGCTATAACGGAAAATGAAACAACGGGACCTCTTTTTTTTTTTAACTATCGTTACAATAATGTACTTAACAAACTGCTTTGAGACTTACTTTGAACGCACCAAACTCTGTGTGTTCAGGTGTGACGTGTCCTCTGCTGCAAAAGTGCTGAGAGCATTGTACATAATGGAGTCAGTAACATGGCCCAACCTATATTTGTGTGGGGCTCTAATTATGGGATACTGATAATATATAGCATCATAGTTTCCTTTCATGTTATGTAAATATCTACTTATAGGGAGAGAAGTATCTTTATTAAAACATGAATTCCAAGTCTATTATTTTCTGTTTTATTTAATCTGGTGTGATAACTGTAGTAATGACAGTCAGTTTGTTTTATTAGATAAAGGCAAGAAACATAGCTGTTATAGATGCTGTGTTATAGAAGTCTATTATAATTATATTATAAATATAAAATCAGCAGTTAAAGGAAGCAGATGTTTTGACACTATGAAAATGCATTATTGGAGTGAACTATGCCAATTCAAGAGAAAAAGCTCTCTTGGAGACAAGAAGGAGTCCTTGATCATATACTACAACTCCTCTCCTCACAGTAACACCACATTTAATACCACGTTCAAATGCCATGTTAGCTAGAGCACTGAGTCACGGGAGGTACACTGCTTTGCTTAAAGCCACCTGAACTGTGACCTTTAATTGAGGTTTCTGCTCACTGAAATAGTTGACATTTCATAAAGTATGACATGCTCTTTGAAAACCTTCAGGGAAATACTACAGTCATATACTACTGCTATTAACCTATGATTAGCATGCCTATTAGCATATTAAGCTATGTTTTTAAGTGTAGTTGAAAGTAGCTTTAGCATCATAGTTTTTGAGAAGTTATTGCTACATTTGAGTTGTGTTGTAGTTCATTTATAGCATAAAGATAAATGTTTAACAAATCTGCTGATTAACCTGGAAAAAAACATATTCTGTAACAACAAATGTGCTTGAGTTTGTATACAATACATGGACTGTATGTAGGTACGCGTATGTAGATGGAGTTATGATATATTCAAAGTGAGCATCAGAATGGGGAGGATGGTTGCTGGTGCTGGACGGTCTGAGTATTTCACAAACTGCTAATCTACTGGGATTTCCCCCACACAACCGTCTCTATGGTTTACAGAGAAGAAGAAAATATCCAGTGAGCTGCAGTTTGCTGATGCTAGAGGTCGGAATAGAATGACTTTAAGCTGATAAGAAGGTAACGGTAACTCAAACAAGCACTTATTAAAGTCTGTGAGAGACCATCTCTGAAAGCACAGCACGTTGAACCTTGAAGCAGATGGGCCACAGCAGCAGAAGACCACAGCAGTTGTCACTCCTGTCAGCCGAGAACAAAATGAGGCTGCAAATTACACAGACTCACCAAAAATTGGATAAAAATTAGAAAAATATTCTGTTGTATGTTGAGTGTCAATTTGTGCTGTGACATTTGGATGGTAGCTTTTGGCATAAGAAACACAAAAGCATGGATGCATCACGTCTTGTATCAACAACTCAGGCTGGTGATATTTTCTTGGCATACTTTGGGGTACAAACTGAGCCTTGTATGAACACCAAAGCCTACTTGCCAAAATCCTTCCCTTTATGGCCACAGTCTTTCCATCTTCTGCCGGAACACAATGTCATAAATACTCTCAAACTTGTTTCTTGAACAATCTTGAGTTGAGTTCACTGCACTCAAATATCCTCCACAGTTAACAGATCTCAATCCATTAGAGCACCTTTGGGATGTGGTGAACCAGGAGATTTTCATCACGGATATGCAGCCAACAAATCTGCAGCTCAATTCTATTCAATTCAATTCATATAGCACTAAATCACAGCAGAACCAAGCTGGGAGAGGGGCAGGCATCTGTCCCAAACAGCTTGGGATGAGGGGAGGAAGACTATATGGACCAAAATCTACAGGGAAGGTTTCCAACACCTTGTTGAATCCATGCTACAAATAATTAAGGGAGAATGAATGAAAAGGAGATTTGCAAAGTGTACCTATTAAAGTGGGTAGTGAGCCTGTTTATCCTTAAAGGGAGGGTTGCTCATAATATCATTTTAGTGTGAAAGGCATTAACTTAGTTGGATACTAGTTAAAATATAATATTTTAAATCTTTTTAGGCGGGTTAATAACACCTTAAATGGTCCACAGAACAAAGCACGTTAGGACCATAATTCATGTAAATGTATTTACTATCAACAACGAATAATTAGGAAGCTGATTTAATGGCAAACTACTGGTCGTACAGAATAAGCACTATATAATACAGCCAATGGGCTACTAATAATTCACACTAACTAATCCACCAGTGTGTGAATGTG